AGCTATATCTAAATCTGGACCGATTTTCTGGAAACTTAACACATATCATTCTAGACCTAATTCAGTGCATCATTTTAGTACATATTCAGTACGCTGTACCAAATTTCGTGGAAATCGAAACATATATAGGGACATTGGTACACCATTTACATTAAATCGGACGAATATATATATATATATATATATATGGGAGCTATATCTAAAGCTGGACCGATTTTCAGGAAACTTGACACACATCTTTCTAAACCTAATTCATTACGCTATGCCAAATTTCGTGCAAATCGGAACATATATAGGGACAGTGGTACAGCATTTACATTAAATCGGACGAAAATATATATGGGAGCTATATCTTAAGCTCGACCGATTTCAAGGAAACTTACTTAACGCACATCATTCTAGTACATATTCAGTACGCTGTACCAAACTTCGTGTAAATCTAAAGATATATAGGGACGGACGAAAATGTATATGGGAGCTATATCTAAATCTGGACCGATTTTCAGGAAACTTGTCACACATCAGTCTAGACCTAATTCATTACCCTGTGCTAAATTTCGTGCAAACCGAAAGCTATATAGGGACATTGGTACACCATTTACATTAAATCGGACGAAAATATATATAGAAGCTATATCAAAATCTGGACCGATTTTCAGGAAACTTGACACTAATTCATTACGCTGTGCCAAATTTCGTGCAAATCGAAAGATATATAGAGACATTGGTACACCATTTACATTAATGGGAGCTATATCTAAATCTGGACCGATTTTCAGGAATCTTAACACACATCATTCTAGACCTAATTCAGTGCGCTGTGCCAAATTTCATGGAAATCGAAACATATATAGGGACATTGGTACACCATTTACATAAAATCGGACGAAAATATATATGGGAGTTATATCTAAATCTTAACCGATTTTTTTTTCAATTTCAATAGGGTTCGTCCTTGGGCCAAATAAGTGACCTATGCCAAATTTCATCCAATTCGGATCATAAATGAGACCTGTAATTTGTTTACAATTTAACATGGGCAGACGGACTTTTTTCTATATCAAAAAACAAAAAAAAAAAAAAAAATCACAGACCCTTAGGTCGGACTTTTTTCTTTATCAGAAAAAAAAACCCAACAAACATCACCGACTTATTTCTGACTTATTTCTATAAAAAAATTATAAGATCCTCATCTCGGAGTTTTTTGCTATAGAAAAAAATTCGTAGAACTTCAGGTCAGAGTTTTTCTCTATCGGAAAAAACATCACTAACCCTCAGGTCTGTGATGTTTTTTTTATAGAAAAAATCACAGATTAGTTCAGACACTTAAGTCGGACTTTTTTCTATAGAAAAAATTTCACTGACCCTCAGGTCGGACTTTTTTCTATAAAAAAAATTTCACAGACCCTCAGTTCGGTGTTTTTTTTTCTACAGAAAAAAAATCACAGACCTTCAGGTTGGCATTTTTTATAAGAATAATATTCCTCCCTGCTTCTATAGCAAAAAGACGCTTAGGTCCATCTTTTGTCTGTACAATTTAAATTTTAAAATTACCGTTATTTTGGTGAGTCTCATAAATAGTAACATCTATAATTTTATTTTGTGTTGATGCCAAAGGCTAATAACAACTAACTAAGCTACCGAAAATTCCCCTCAATTGAAATTGAAAGGGGTTTCGTTGTTGTTGTTTGATGATGAGTAATTATTTCATAATTAAATGAAATTTTAATAAAGAATACTACCGCGCACTAACCCACAACCCCCGACAATCACATGAATTCCGAACAAAGACAACCACCATATGCATTTGACGTAAATTTTAGATTAGCTTTCACTCTGAGGTTTAGTCAGTCAGTCAGTCAGTCAGTTTCAAAAGCTAATAACCAATTTAAATGACTTTTTGTTTGTTCGACGTCGACAGTTCGTTTGGTTTCATTGTTGGGCGCCATTAATTAAGGTTAGGGTTTTGGCGGGGGATCGGTTGATGGTTTTGTATCCACAAAACCGCATAGCCACTGAAATTTTGTGTCATTTTCTATTTCGCCATTATATTTGCGCGCGAATAACATACACACGCACACACAGGAATTTCAATAATAGAGAAACCCTTTTTCTAACATATTTGTTGTCGATGACAGAACAATGTTCGGCAATATTTGCTGCGGCCAGACAAATTCAATTATTTTTGCAAAATTGTCAATAAATGACAAAAAAATTTATTGACATTTTACAAATATTGACGGTAAAAAAAACAAGATGAGCCATTTTTGGGAAATTCATTGGGTTCAATGGTCTAACAAAAAACAAGTGATGGTTGAAAATGTTACCCTACAGTTCTCATTATCTCAAAATAAATTTTAGAAATTTTTAATATTTTTAATTTCAAATTCCATAAAATCTGAATTTAAAATTTGCCAGGGTAAAATGACACCTCCAAACATAAATCTCTATTAGGTATTTGACCAGAGAAGTGACGACTAATAAGTGCTCGTTTAATTGTTGGCTGTGGTTGGAGGGCAACCAAAGTGCAACCCATTTACGTATGTATGACTGTGGGCATGGTGGTAGTGGTATATCCTCGTTTTGAAATGTGTACAAGTGTTTTATTAATTAAACTTTTGTGAATTTTTACACACACACTCATACACACAAAACCTACATTTACAGTTAGAGAACAATTTGTGTAAAAAAATCATAATGAAAAAAAAAAAATGAAAACCGCTAGACAATGTGAACTGTTGCACACTGTTGCATGGTGAGTTGTGTCAGAGCAAACATTTGTCGAGAGAAAATTTCCATTTGTTTCAAGACCCATTTCGCCAAAAAAGAATGCCACAAGAACCGCGACACCCAAATAACCAACGTCAGTTTTATTTAAATTGGTGGTTTTCTTTAGAATTACTTTTTCGAAGCAAAAAAGGAAGATAATTTATTTAATTCCTAGTAGCAGATAATCTAACAAAGTGGATATTCTACGAATAGAATTGTGGAGAAAATATATTTTTGTAACCTCTTTAACAGTTTTAAAAGGTGTAAAACCTCTAAAAATTCACAGTTTGTTCTTTTCATTTCATGGAGAAAAACCCGACCAGGGGATCTGCAATTTCAATAGAAGAAAAGAGACCTTCAGGTTGTACCTTTTTTATAGGACTAAGTTTTTCCTATAAAAAATCCGAGACCCTCAAGTCCATGTTTTTTCTATAGAAAAAAATCCGAGACCCTCAGGTCGATGATTTTTTCTATAGAAAAAAATCCGAGAACCTCAGGTCGATGATTTTTTCTATAGAAAAAAATCCGAGACCCTCAGGTCGATGATTTTTTCTATAGAAAAAAATCCGAGACCCTCAGGTCGATGATTTTTTCTATAGAAAAAAATCCGAGACCCTCAGGTCGATGATTTTTTCTATAGAAAAAAATCCGAGACCCTCAGGTCGATGATTTTTTTTATAGAAAAAAATCCGAGACCCTCAGGTCGATGATTTTTTTTATAGAAAAAAATCCGAGACCCTTGGTTGAGATACTCTTTTTCTATAGAAAAAAATCCGAGACCCTTGGTTGAGGTACTCTTTTTCTATAGAAAAAAATCCGAGACCCTCAGGTCGATGTTTTTTTCTATAGAAAAAAATTTCGAGACCCTCAGGTCGATGTTTTTTTCTATAGAAAAAATTTCGAGACCCTCAGGTCGATGTTTTTTCTATAGAAAAAATTTCGAGACCCTCAGGTCGATGTTTTTTTCTATAGAAAAAAATTTCGAGACCCTCAGGTCGATGTTTTTTTCTATAGAAAAAAATTTCGAGACCCTCAGGTCGATGTTTTTTTCTATAGAAAAAAATTTCGAGACCCTCAGGTCGATGTTTTTTTCTATAGAAAAAAATTTCGAGACCCTCAGGTCGATGTTTTTTTCTATAGAAAAAAATTTCGAGACCCTCAGGTCGATGTTTTTTTCTATAGAAAAAAATTTCGAGACCCTCAGGTCGATGTTTTTTTCTATAGAAAAAAATTTCGAGACCCTCAGGTCGATGTTTTTTTCTATAGAAAAAAATTTCGAGACCCTCAGGTCGATGTTTTTTTCTATAGAAAAAAATTTCGAGACCCTCAGGTCGATGTTTTTTTCTATAGAAAAAAAATTTCGAGACCCTCAGGTCGATGTTTTTTTCTATAGAAAAAAATTTCGAGACCCTCAGGTCGATGTTTTTTTCTATAGAAAAAAATTTCGAGACCCTCAGGTCGATGTTTTTTCTATAAAAAAAATTTCGAGACCCTCAGATCGATCCGAGACCCTCAATTCGATGCTTTTTTCTATAGAAAAAAATTCCGAGACCCTCAGGTCGATGTTTTTTTCTACAGAAAAAAATCAGAACAAAAGTCACCTTCTTTGAAGATTAATATCAGAACCAAGTATCTCAGAAATTCCTTCAATGAACCTGAGAGTCAATGAATGATTTCTGTTGAAAATCTCGGTGCATTTTTTGCTATAGAAAAAAATCTCACAAATTCTATATAAAATATTACATACGAGACCCTGTTTCTTTAGAAAAAAATCCGAGAACCTCATGTTTAGAAAAAAAATTGTACAAAAAAGTTCATGTCGATTTTTTTGTAGAATTTTGAGAAATTTGAAACTCTAAGGACGGATGTTTTTATAGGAAAATTTCACTGGGCCCCACGTCCCAACTAACACTTACTAATATTATTATAAAATAAAAAAAATATTCCAAATGCTAACATTTTGCTATCCTTCCTTCTTTTCTTTTTTCTTTCTACAAATCTGTAATGAAAAAAACAACAAAAAAAAAACACCACCCTTCGAAAAAAAAACTGACAGCTCTATCTATGCAACCCAAAAGGTGGAGAATACAAATACATTAATGTGTTGTTGATTACAAAGGCAGGATAACAAGAAAACCTGGCAAAAGAGGAGAATAAGAATCCGCAAACAAAAAAAAAAACACCCAAGACAAAAACAACAACAACAAGAAAACCCTTCATAAAACATCAAAATGTTTGTGGGCATAAATCAAATGAGATATAGCGGCAAGAAACGTAAAAAATCTCTGGAAACAGAAAAACCTGCTGGCACAGAACAAGAATCGGCAGATAAAGGTGTCATGGAACAGCAGCAAAGGAGAGACGAAGAAGAAAATCATATTACGACGAAACCATTGGGCACGGGTACAGGGGAAAACAGTGAATGCCAAAAGCAAATATCAAAAACGCCATTGCTCCACTATGAAATAGACAATGGCAAAAGCAGGCCGCCATTGGCAGATGGTACAGCCCCACCAACATCAGCAATGGCAAGGACCTCACCGCCGTCAACGATAAATGAACCTGCAGCATATTCGTGTAAATGCAAAAATTGCCAATGCAATTTTCAAAATGTTCATCAACAACAGCAGCAGCAAAAGGAAAACAAATACCTCCCCTACACCACGTCCAGTAAAATATCCTCCTCACCGTCCTCCGGGCAAGCGAACAAACCCACCGTTATAACATCACTGGGAAACGTTTACCTTTGTCTGGGTATATTGACATTAGCATTGGCTTCCCTGGCTGTGTTATTTTATTCACATGTAACCTCCTGCCCCACATCATCAGCATGTTGCCCTTCACCCCTGCCACCCCACAATAACTGTGTCAATTGCCAAAATTCCACATCATTGCCAATAAACCAAGAGGGAGTAACAGAGCAGCATCAGCTGCCGCCACATCATCATCAGCGCCGTGATACCCCAACATTGGCAGGTGATGCTGAACTTTTCGGTGAAAATTTCCCCCAAGATTTTTTATCAACAAGGACGTCATCATCGACATCAGAAAGAGCAACATCCGAGTCGTTGTTATATCGTGAACGTTTTCGACGGGAATTACTTGACTCGGAACATATGCTCTACTCCATGGTGGAAAGAATATTACAACAGCAGCAACAACAGACATCTGGAGAATTGCAACGGATGCAAGACCACCATCAAGATGACGACGAAGGGCAGAACCATCATATAAATACAAAGCATATTTCTTTGGGGAATGCTGTTGAAGATCAAAGGTAGGTTGCAGCTACGAGGCAAAATATAATTTGTTTGTAAAGTGTGGATAAGAATCGAAAAACAAAACAAGCAAAAGAAAATTACACTGGGTTACAAAATAAGAACACACATAAAAAATAGAAAAAAAAATCCCAAACCCAGATTTTTTTATACAGAAAACAAATTTCCTTACCGTGAAAAAATTCACAGACCCTCAGGTCGGACTTTTTTATAGGAAAAAAATCGTAGACCCTCAGGTCGGATTTTTTCCATAGAAAAAAATTCGTAGACCCTCAGGTCGGATTTTTTCCATAGAAAAAAATTCGTAGACCCTCAGGTCGGATTTTTTTCCATAGAAAAAAATTCGTAGACCCTCAGGTCGGACTTTTTTCTATAGAAGACAATTCACAGACACTCAAGTTGGACTTTTTTCTATAGAAAAACATTCACAGACCCTCAGGTCGGAGTTTTTTTCTATAGAAAAAAATTCAATTCTTAGTTCGGAGATTTTTTTATAGAAAAAAAATCGTAGACCTTCAGGTCGGAGATTTTTTCTATAGAAAAAAATTCGTAGACCCTCAGGTCGGAGATTTTTTCTATAGAAAAAAATTCGTAGACTCTCAGGTCGGAGATTTTTTCTATATAAAAAAAATTCGTAGACCCTCAGGTCGGAGATTTTTTCTATAGAAACACATTCGTAGACCCTCAGGTCGGACTTTTTTCTATAGAAAACAATTCACAGACACTCAAGTTGGACTTTTTTATATAGAAAAAAATTCCAAGATCCTCAGGTCGGATTTTTTTCTATAGAAAAAACTTCATAGACCCTCAAGTCGGATTTTTTTTCTATAAAAAAATTTGTATACCCTCAGGTCGGAGTTTTTTCTATAGAAAAAATTCACAGAGCTTCAGTTCGGAGTTTTTTTCTATAGAGAAAAATTCACAGACCCTCAGGTCGGAGTTTTGCTAAAATATGTTCTCATAACTTCTGTTAAATTTCGAACGAAAATTGAATTCACATCGATTACCCAAAACGAGGTCACATTTGCGTCGTCAACTTTGAATTTTAGGCCTAAGGCAAATTTTGAAAATTTGTCAACATCAACATGGAAATCTATTACAAGAGAATATTTCAACGTAAATGTAGTAGCCGTTGTTCGGTTAATGGCCATAATTTGTCAGAACCAAAAAAAAAAAAGAAAAAGAAAAAATGTAATCATCCATAACTTGCAGGGGAGGAGGCGAAATATTGTTCCATGGCCAAGCCTCATGGTCATCATTCGGATTTTTTTTTTATTTCAATTTATTCACTTAACAGTTGTGGTCGGTTGGTTGGTTCATTTGTCAGTCCGTCGCCCGTACCGTCCGTTCATTGGTCATAGTTCAACGTCATGGGTTCTTTTTTACTTATCGGGTTAATGGGCCAATTGCAAAGGTAGCCACTGGCGGCATGTGTGCCATGAACCTTGTTCGGTGTTCTGCTCTGTTCTCTCAGTGATGCAACAGCCACTTACCCCATTTCCAGTTCAACCTGTAGCTATAGGTCAAAATGTTGTTACTGTTACAAAGATTGCAATTCGTGTTGGTTTTTTCATATCTTTTTTTTTTTTGATAAAAACCATGTTCACCTTGCCTTGTCCTGAAAGACCTTTCTGTAAGGAGGGGTGGGACAGAGTTACTACTTTTTTCAATAAATTGCACTTTTTTGTTCCGTAAAAGTTTCGTTTCATTTTATGGAGGTAACAGAAGAAAATGCAAGGGTAATAAAAAGTAATCATAAAGTAAAGAAGAATAAGAACAAGAAGAAGATGAAGAAAAGAAAAGAAAAAAAGAATGAATCTTACTTGTAAAAGTCAGCAGACATTTATGCACAAGTTATGGGGCATAACTACTAAGGAGGATATTAGGTAGGTATGGTAATTATGGTCACATTGTTTACTATGGAAAAAACACAGGCCTGAGGTTCGGAGATTTTTTTATAGGAAAAAAAAAATATATTTTTTCAAAGCTTTTATAAGGCGTGGATTTTGTAAAGAATATTTTTTCAAGACCCATCTCAGGCGTGGATTTTAAAAGGAATATTTTTTCAAGACCCATCCCAGGCTTGGATTTTAAAAGGAATATTTTTTCAAGACCCATCCCAGGCGTGGATTTTAAAAGGAATATTTTTTCAAGACCCATCCCAGGCGTGGATTTTAAAAGGAATATTTTTTCAAGACCCATCCCAGGCGTGGATTTTAAAAGGAATATTTTTTCAAGACCCATCCCAGGCGTGGATTTTAAAAGGAATATTTTTTAAGGCCAATCCTATTTTTTCAAGGCCTATCCCAGGCGTGGATTTCTTAAAGAATATTTTTTCAAGGCCTATCCCAGGCGTGGATTTCTTAAAGAATATTTTTTCAAGGCCTATCCCAGGCGTGGATTTCTTAAAGAATATTTTTTCAAGGCCTATCCCAGGCGTGGATTTCTTAAAGAATATTTTTTCAAGGCCTATCCCAGGCGTGGATTTCTTAAAGAATATTTTTTCAAGGCCTATCCCAGGCGTGGATTTCTTAAAGAATATTTTTTCAAGGCCTATCCCAGGCGTGGATTTCTTAAAGAATATTTTTTCAAGGCCTATCCCAGGCGTGGATTTCTTAAAGAATATTTTTTCAAGGCCTATCCCAGGCGTGGATTTCTTAAAGAATATTTTTTCAAGGCCTATCCCAGGCGTGGATTTCTTAAAGAATATTTTTTCAAGGCCTATCCCAGGCGTGGATTTCTTAAAGAATATTTTTTCAAGGCCTATCCCAGGCGTGGATTTCTTAAAGAATATTTTTTCAAGGCCTATCCCAGGCGTGGATTTCTTAAAGAATATTTTTTCAAGGCCTATCCCAGGCGTGGATTTCTTAAAGAATATTTTTTCAAGGCCTATCCCAGGCGTGGATTTCTTAAAGAATATTTTTTCAAGGCCTATCCCAGGCGTGGATTTCTTAAAGAATATTTTTTCAAGGCCTATCCCAGGCGTGGATTTCTTAAAGAATATTTTTTCAAGGCCTATCCCAGGCGTGGATTTCTTAAAGAATATTTTTTCAAGGCCTATCCCAGGCGTGGATTTCTTAAAGAATATTTTTTCAAGGCCTATCCCAGGCGTGGATTTCTTAAAGAATATTTTATCAAGTCTCTTATTTTTCGAGGCTCTTGTAAGGCGTGGATTTTTTATAGAATATTTTTTCGAGGCTCTTGTAAGGCGTAGATTTTTTTAAAGAATATTTTCTGAAGTACACATTAACAAATTATTATTTAATCAGATTTCAAATTTAGTAGAGACTCCCACATCACCAGAATTCCGTTGCCTTTAACAATGTATACCCTGGGCATATCCTGACCTTCAGTGTCCGACCTTATTGATGTCTTTTCAATTATAATTTCAAATATGCAAAATGCATCCATCCCTCGTTTTAGTGCGACCTACGTACAGAAAACTTCTTTCTATATTTATATATGAATTGCAAATGAATAAATACATTTGTATATATGTATGGCTGTGTGTGTGTTTGTGTAAATATGTGGTAGGGAACAGTTTTTCCCATAAATAAATTTTCATACTTTGTGCATAATTTAAAAATGTTCATAACATTACTTTTGATTAAACTTGCATTTCTTCATCGCCGTGGTGGCTGGGGGCACCGAAGAAGGCAAAGAAGAAGTTTCGGATCAAGATAAAGAAAAGTGGATAAGAAAAAAAAAACTAATGGCAAAAAATCTGAACAAAGAAGGAAAAAAACTGACTTCAAGTAAATGTATATTTCAATTTTTATTTCACTTCATTTATATTTTTCATTTTGTTACTATTTCTCTTTACTCTTTTTATCTCTCCCACAAAAAGGCATAGGGTCTTGGCAGATTCCTCTGCGGGCCATGGCAAGGGAGGACCTGGAGTTGTAAATAATCATAACGAGGCCAGCATAGTCGATGATACAAGAAGCACCACCACTTCACCAGTAGAAGTTACGGCCGGCATTCAGCCGGATATTGGCAATGCAGAGCTTCCCCCGCAAAGTTTCCACCGTCCCCTGGAGAGAAAATATAGTGGCAACACTATTACCAAGGAACCACAAACAATAGAGGAACTGGTGCATTATCAGAAAAGAATGCGAAGAGATATCTCTTCATCACCGTCAACATCAATGCATGGTAAGTATGCCGTTCCATACTCAAGGAGTGGGAGGGGAGGGAGGGTTTGCAGTTAGTTCAGGCATGAATGATTGCCACAAGGAAACGCTTAAGAAAATATGAATGGAAAATAATTTGAAATTCTAATGATGATGAAAAACCGAAAACAAAAGCCAAGAAACCAAAGATATCCACCAACCAAAGGAAATGCCATTAACAATAACTTGAAGGAGAATAGAGGTAAGGGAAGAAGGCAGGAGCCGAAGTAGATGATCCTGTGGAACAAAAGCAAGCTATTGGAAAATACTAGTCTTTGTCCCCAGATAGCATTTGATTTTTAAGATGACATGGAAGTTGATGATGATGATGTGGATGATGGCGCTGAGTGGTACTTTCCAAAGGACAATAAATGCAGGACAATTGCACTCACTTAAGAGAATAAAGCCCCCCGCCCATAATATCAAGCATTCGAATACTTCTCTCGAGGGAGTAAATGAAAAACAAATGTCAACAATGGTTGATGGCTACAATCAAGCATGACAAGACGGACGACAATCTAAAGGCATTCTCGGAATCCTGATTCATTCATTTTTTTCCAGCACTGGGGGGCAGGTCATTTATTAATTCATTTATTCAATTTTTTGTTAAGGACTTTGAATAATCAAACGGAAATTTTCTTTTTTTTTCCTTGCAGATCCTTTCATCGAATTCTTTACACCCAATCATCGCAAAGTCCTGGAGGAACAAGACAAGGAAATACGCAAACGAACCGGCCAGAAAGGAGCCGCACCGGGTGGTGATGAATGGGTGTATTTGAACACGTATTGTCGGGTGCCGGAGAAGATGATAACCGGTTTTTGTCAAAGTACCCAGGAGTATTGTCCACCCAGTCCACCAGGGCCGGAGGGTCCTCAGGGACCCAAAGGTCCGACGGGGCCACCTGGTTTACCAGGCATACCCGGTCCCAAGGGAAATCGTGGTGATGTAGGTCTCCCTGGACAACCAGGTGCAGCTGGAGCCATGGGCCCTGTAGGACCCCGAGGTCCCAAGGGTGACATTGGCATACCAGGACGACCTGGCTTGGATGGTCGTGATGGTGTTCCTGGAGAACCTGGCTTGGATGGTGTTCCCGGCCGTGCCGGGGCTGATGGCATTCCTGGCAAAGATGGTGCCCCCGGCCGCGATGGTAAAGATGGCATTAATGGCAAAGATGGTCGTGATGGTGCTCCTGGGCCAAAAGGTTCCCAAGGGCCACCTGGTGAAAGAGGTCTTAAGGGTAAGTTTAAATTTCAATTATTTTGCAATCAAAGCAATGTAAAGAAGACAACAGCTGGGAATGCTTTGTGGCCTACGAAAAACAACAACAAAACAAAATTCATTTGAATTTGAAGAGGAAAACAGAACAGAAAAACACGAAAACTTTGTGGCAGAAATTAAAAATTGTCTACCAAAAAAAAGTTTTGCTTTACTAGTCTCTTTATCTCTCTTCTTCTGTATATTCGTATTTTATTTGTATTTTTTCAGGATTTTTTTTTTTACATTTCATGTAACTTTTTTTCTGTTGAAATCCCATAACTAATGACCCCAACCTCGGCATTGCTTAAATGTTAAAAGACTACCACCAAGAGATTTATGGTTTTTAAGTTTAAACTTGTGGCACAGTGGGACAAAAAATTAAAAAATAAATGTATTCCTAAATAAAAATATTTTCAAGGACCTAAACAAGGCGTTGATTTTTAAAAAAATAATTTTCCTAACAAGGCTTGGATGTTTTAAAAATAGTTTTTTGAAGGCCAATAGTGGTGTGGATTTTGTTTTTTGGAGGCGTGAATTTTTTAAAATTATTTTTCGAGGACCTAAACAAGGCGTGGATGGCCAATATGAGGCGCGGATTTATTAAATATTCTTCGAGGGCCAAATGAGGAGTGGATTTTTTAAAATATTTTTTTGTTTCTGGTATAAAAAGCGTGGATTTTTAAAGAATATTTTTTCTGGCATAGAGTTAGGCGTTGATTTTTTAATGAAACATTTTTCTGACCTAGAAATAGGCGTTTTTTTAATAATATTTTTTCTGACATAGAAATAGGTGTGGAGAATAGGCCTAGATTTTTTAGGACATATTTTTTTCTGGTTATAAATAGGCGTGGATTTTAAGGAGTCTTTTTTGTAGCATAGAAATATGAGTGGAATGGATTTTAAAAGTAGAATTTTTGAGGCATACTTGAAGGCGTGGATTTTAAAAGTAGAATTTTTGAGGCATACTTAAAGGCGTGGATTTTAAAAGTAGAATTTTTGAGGCATACTTCAAGGCGTGGATTTTAAAAATAGAATTTTTGAGGCATACTTCAAGGCGTGGATTTTAAAAGTAGAATTTTTGAGGCATACTTAAAGGCGTGGATTTTAAAAGTAGAATTTTTGAGGCATACTTGAAGGCGTGGATTTTAAAAGTAGAATTTTTGAGGCATACTTAAAGGCGTGGATTTTAAAAGTAGAATTTTTGAGGCATACTTCAAGGCGTGGATTTTAAAAGTAGAATTTTTGAGGCATACTTCAAGGCGTGGATTTTAAAAGAAGAATTTTTGAGGCATACTTCAAGGCGTGGATTTTAAAAGTAGAATTTTTGAGGCATACTTAAAGGCGTGGATTTTAAAAGTAGAATTTTTGAGGCATACTTCAAGGCGTGGATTTTAAAAGTAGAATTTTTGAGGCATACTTCAAGGCGTGGATTTTAAAAGTAGAATTTTTGAGGCATACTTAAAGGCGTGGATTTTAAAAGTAGAATTTTTGAGGCATACTTCAAGGCGTGGATTTTAAAAGTAGAATTTTTGAGGCATACTTAAAGGCGTGGATTTTAAAAGTAGAATTTTTGAGGCATACTTAAAGGCGTGGATTTTAAAAGTAGAATTTTTGAGGCATACTTAAAGGCGTGGATTTTAAAAGTAGAATTTTTGAGGCATACTTGAAGGCGTGGATTTTAAAAGTAGAATTTTTGAGGCATACTTAAAGGCGTGGATTTTAAAAGTAGAATTTTTGAGGCATACTTCAAGGCGTGGATTTTAAAAGTAGAATTTTTGAGGCATACTTCAAGGCGTGGATTTTAAAAGAAGAATTTTTGAGGCATACTTCAAGGCGTGGATTTTAAAAGTAGAATTTTTGAGGCATACTTAAAGGCGTGGATTTCAAAAGTAGAATTTTTGAGGCACACTTAAAGGCGTGGATTTTAAAAGTAATTTTTGAGGCGTGGATTTTAAAAGTAGAATTTTTGAGGCATACTTAAAGGCATGGATTTTAAAAGTAGAATTTTTGAGGCATACTTAAAGGCGTGGATTTTAAAAGTAGAATTTTTGAGGCATACTTAAAGGCGTGGATTTTAAAAGTAGAATTTTTGAGGCATACTTAAAGGCGTGGATTTTAAAAGTAGAATTTTTGAGGCATACTTAAAGGCGTGGATTTTAAAAGTAGAATTTTTGAGGCATACTTAAAGGCGTGGATTTTAAAAGTAGAATTTTTGAGGCATACTTAAAGGCGTGGATTTTAAAAGTAGAATTTTTGAGGCATACTTAAAGGCGTGGATTTTAAAAGTAGAATTTTTGAGGCATACTTAAAGGCGTGGATTTTAAAAGTAGAATTTTTGAGGCATACTTAAAGGCGTGGATTTTAAAAGTAGAATTTTTGAGGCAAACTTAAAGGCGTGGATTTTAAAAGTAGAATAGTGGTGTGGATTTTGTTTCTTGGAGGCGTGAATTTTTTAAAATTATTTTTCGAGGACCTAAACAAGGTGTGGATGGCCAATATGAGGCGCGGATTTATTAAATATTCTTCGAGGGCCAATATGAGGAGTGGATTTTGTAAAATAGTTTTTCAATGGTCAATATGAGGCGAACGCTTTTTTAATATCTTCTCCAGGGTGCCACTAGAGGCGTGGATTTTTTATTTTTTGTTTTTTCAATGAGACACTAGAGGCGTGGATTAATTAAAAAATTCTTCAAGGACCTAACCAGGATTTGATTTATTAAAGAATAATTTATTTAAAAAACTCACTGTTCGAATTCTTTCCTATATCTTTTTAATGAAGAAAAAATGGAAACTTCTCTTAACATATTCAAAACTTATGCAAAGAAAATTGTTTAGAAGGAATAGGGAGCGAGCGTAGTTCAGCAGAAAGCAAACAAATAACATCAACAAAGTATTGTTTTTTTTCCCCCGGCTACCATGCTCGTATTGGAGTAGTATTAAAAATTCCCATTGCTCCCTCCACTTCTTCAACATTGTTTATGTCCAGCAAATACCACAAAGAAGCATGGTTCCCTTTCATAATGGTGATTCATGATGGCTGGTGTGTGCTATGCAAAACACGGTTCAATATTGGGAAGAAGAAAAAAAGAAACAGAAACTAACAACCAATTCCTTTAAGGACCAACTTCCCGATTATTTGCATTTAGGGCGAGCACACACACACACCCTTAAAGATGCCTTGATGTTTACCAGTGAAAAAAATAAAACGAAACGAGTGCTGAGCACTCACATCTACCACCATCACGAGTTTTCTAAATACCCGGCAAATGTTTGTGATGTAAATATTTTGTCAAAATCGGAAGGAAGGAAATGTGGTAGTACCAGTAACAGCAGTTACTGTGTTAGGTTCGTCCTACAGTCAGCCATCTAGGCAGCCAATATCACGAGATTGCAGGAACTGTTGTTACTCCTTGAACTGGTGGGTCTTGCTCCCCTGTTTTTTTTCAAATTGGAGTCTTGCGAAGTTCAAGAAGTAAGGGTGCAAGAGAGATGGAGAGGGGAAAATGGAAAACAATTTTTTCACTTGAATTACAATTAAGATTGCTTTCCATGCCATTTCTTTTTTCTTTTCTTTTTCTGTTCCTCTCATGGCACACACACACAACACAATCGGTCCTTTAAACTGCAGATTGTTTTTTTTTTGTTTTCGTCCTGCTTTGTTGCTAAGAACTTCTATGGCATGGTTGGTAGTTGATGGATCGTGATTAATAGTGGCATGATTAATGGTAAAAGCCAATGTGGTTACCATTATAAATGAATTTTTGCAACAGTTATGTTATTTTAATGGACACGAATGGGCGTTTACTGGTCATGTGAAATAAAGGGAGAGCGAGAGGATAAAGAATGCAAGGACATGGCATGCCACACAAAGCAATCTTTGAGAAGTTCTTTTTTCCCTTTGATGGAAGTTTAGTAATGTGTTTTCTTTTTTCTTGTATATTTTTTCAGGCATTGCTGGACCTCGTGGACGACCAGGCAAACCTGGCACAAATGGTACACCAGGTATCCCCGGTGTAAGTGCCTACAAAGTACAGCTAAAGAACGGCACATACTTGAATGATTTACTGATACCACCATCAATTGCAGGTAAGTGAAAAGAAAATGGGGAAAAACATTGAAGTTTCTTCGAAACTGAAAATTGATTTGTATTCATAAGGGACATGAAGTGGGAATATAAGGCTTCAAATGATTTTGAATTTATTATGTGAATATTCTTCAAGGACCTAAACAGGACGTGGACTTTTTAAAGAAAAAAATGTTCAGGCATAATATGAAGCGTGGATTTTCTAGAGAATATATTTCAGGCCTACATAAGGCGTGGATTTTTTTTAAATTAAATTTTTTAAAGTAGAATTTTTGAAGCATAATTCAAGGCGTGGATTTTGAAAGAAACATTTTTGAGGCATACTCCTAGTCGTGGATTTTGAAAGAAAAATTTTGAGGCATATTCCTAGGCGTGGATTTTTTAAAGAAGAATTTTTGAGGCATACTTCAAGGCGTGGATTTTTTAAGTAACATTTTTGAGCACACTTCAAAGAGCAGTTTTTAAAGTAGAATTTTTGAGGCATACTTCAAGGCGTGGATTTTGAAAGTAGAAGTTTTGAGGCATACTTCAATGTGTGGATTTTGTAAAGTAGAAGTTTTGAGGCTTACTTCAAGGCGTGGATTTTAAAAGTAGAATTTTTGAGGCATACTTCAAGGCGTGGGTTTTTAAAGTAGAATTTTTGAGGGATACTTCAAGGCGTGGGTTTTAAAAGTAGAATTTTTGAGGCATACTTCAAGGCGTGGATTTTGAAAGTAAAAGTTTTGAGGCATACTTCAATGTGTGGATTTTGTAAAAGTAGAAGTTTTGAGGCATACTTCAAGGTGTGGATTTTGTAAAATAGAAGTTTTGAGGCATACTTCAAGTCGTGGATTTTAAAAGTAGAAGTTTTGTGGCATACTTCAATGTGTGGATTTTGTAAAGTAGAAGTTTTGAGGCATACTTCAAGGCGTGGATTTTGTAAAATAGAAGTTTTGAGGCATACTTCAAGGCGTGGATTTTAAAAGTAGAAGTTTTGAGGCATACTTCAAGGCGTGGATTTTAAAAGTAGAAGTTTTGAGGCATACTTCAAGGTGTGGATTTTGTAAAATAGAAGTTTTGAGGCATACTTCAAGTCGTGAATTTTAAAAGTAGAAGTTTTGAGGCATACTTCAAGGTGTGGATTTTAAAAGTAGAAGTTTTGAGGCATACTTCAAGGTGTGGATTTTAAAAGTAGAAGTTTTGAGGCATAATTTAAGGTGTGGATTTTAAAAGTAGAAGTTTTGAGGCATACTTCAAGGTGTGGATTTTGTAAAGTAGAAGTTTTGAGGCACACTTTAAGGTGTGGATTTTGTAAAGTAGAAGTTTTGAGGCATACTTCAAGGCATGGATTTTAAAAATAGCATTTCTTAGGCATACTTCAAGGCTGGGATTTTAAAAATATAAGCCTTCAGGCATATTTCAAAGCATAATTGTTTAAGTACCATTTCTGAGGCATACTTCAAGTCGTGTATCTTTTCAGGTACTATTTTTGTGGCATATTTCAAGGCATGTACTTTTGAAGTGCCATTTTGAGGCATACTGCAAGGCGGGAAATCTTAAAGTAGAATTTTTCAGACATACTTCGAGGAATGATTTTTTTAAAGTAGACTTTTTTTAAAGTAGAATTAATGAAGCCTAGTACAAGGTATACATTTCACAATAGAATTTTGAGGCAGTTTTCAAGTCATGGATCTTTAAGGTAAAATATTTGAGTCATACTTCAAGACGTCGTCATGTTAGGTAACAGTTTTGAGGCATATTTCAAGGCGTGAATTATTAAGTAATATCGATATTATAGCTTCGATTTTTTGAGTAATATTTTTAACACCTTTTGTTTTAATGTTCCTCAAAATAATAGAGTTCATAAACTACTTGATGACCACAATCTCTCCCGAAAAGTCTCGCCATTAAATTTCAATTGTTGCCATATTCAGCAAATAATGAAATTTGAGTTGTTGTCATTTAAGTTTCGTTGCATTCCCAACAACATTCATATACAATGATATTTTTTCAGATTTCTTTTATATTTTTGTTGTTGTCGTAGTATATCCTTTTACCATTGTTGTCTCTTTGTTTATTTGCCATTTGGTTGGTTTTCTCTGTTCTACATTTTTTTCGCAGATATAAATATGCCGCGTTCCATTGCCGTCGAAGAAGGAAAAACATTAAACGTAAGCTGTGCCGCCAGCGGTAATCCAATGCCTCATGTTGAATGGCGACGAGATGACGGTCGAACGATTAATGTCCATGGCGTTGAGAGTAAGGATTTTTTGTCTGCTTCTTCTTTTTCTTTGCCTGCAACAAAAAATGTATGCAAAAGGATTTATAATGGTTTGGTTATTGTTTCCTTTTCCCCTTTCCTTTTTCTTGTTTGTGTTTTTTTTCTGATTCCTGTGCGTGTCCTTCCTGTTCGGCTTCATATGTTCGACGGTGGGCTGTTTTATCGCTGAACACTCTTTCACATCGCAGTGTCATCTATAAGTGGTCCATATCTGAAATTCACCAATATTACCCGTCATCAAATGGCTTCGTATACATGCTATGCCGACAATGGTTTAGCACCCGTGGCCAATGCAACATTTTTAATCGAAGTCCAATGTAAGTAGCACAGATGATGGTGATGATGAGAGATGGTATTCTAAGGGGAGGTGTTTGGAGGTTAATGGTTTGATTGTTGAATGACACTGCCCCTGTCTGTTGGGTTTTTCTTTTCAGTTCCGCCCATGATATCGGTCTATAGGCAAATGATTTATGCCGAATATGGACGTTCGGCCACATTGGAATGCATTGTGGAAGCATTCCCCGAGGCTATACTCTATTGGGAAAGGGCCTACGATGGCAGTATATTGGATCGAGGTGACAAATATCGAATTGAAACTAATCCAGATGGGTAAATGAATGGCTATCTGTCATTTGAATGATGACAGTCAACACACTAACACATACACATATTTCTTTTTCTTTGGTCCCCCATTTCTTTACAGCTATCGTACAACAATGCGTCTGACGATTACCTCCTTGCGTAAGGATGATTTCGGTTACTATCATTGTGTGGCCAGGAATGCACTCAATACCACAATGGTTAATTTTGAAATTGCACGTAAGTCTCAAGAGGGGGTATGGGGTTATTGGGAAGGAGGGTTTTCAAATAATGATTATTGATTGAATGAAAATGATTGAATCGAAATGACAAACGGATACAAGTAAAATGAGGCAAAAAAAAAAAAAGCCAGCCATCCAACTAGGATAAATGAAATGGACATCAGCAAATGAATATGGATGGGTTGTGTGACAAACTGGCAGATAGACAAGACAGATTGACAGACAACTGGACACAAAGGAAATGATAGATAAGAGCTGTTAATATTTATGATATTGATTGAGGACGACTGTCTGTATTGAAGATTGACATGGGGATTTGAAGTTTGTCTTTTGTGGACATGGTTGATGGTTGAAATGAGAAATTTGAGTTCTTTTTTTATTTTCATTGCAGCTCAAGATCCAAACAGTGAAACACCCTATGTTGGCAAGGAAATGAAAACATATGGCCAACGTCCACCCGAACAAGAGTGTCCCGTTTGTCCCGAGTGTCCTGAACAGAGGTAAGTTTGTACAATAAAGTAAAGGATAAAATATATTTTTGTTTCCAAAATCTCATGATCTTCAATAGGCTTCGATTTTTAAACAATTTTTTATATCCTTCACCAAAGTGTTACTGGGTATTATGTCTTTGTGCATATGGTTGTAACAGGCAAAAGAAAACGAGATAGACACATGGTTCCTTTTGAGAATATACATAGAATCACTTTTTAAGTCGATTTATGCATGTCCGTCCGTCCATGTATTTTTGTTAACAAAGTACTGGTCGCATTTGTGATCCGATTTGGATGAAATTTGGCACATTTCACTTATTTGGCCCAAGGACGAAAAATGGTTTCAGATTTAGATATAGCTCCCATATATATTTTCGTCCGATTTTATATAAATGGTGCACCAATGACAATATCTATTCTTAGATTTGCACGAAATTTGGCATAGCGGACTGAATTAAGTCTAGAAAGATGTGTTGTAAATTTCGTGAAAATCGGTTCAGATTCAGATATAGCTCCCATATATATTTTCGTCCGATTTTAGGTAAATGGTGCACAAATGTCACAATATAACTTTCGATTTGCATGAATTTTGGCTTAGTGTACTGAATTTAGCTTAGAATGGTGTGTGCCAAGTTTCGTGGAAAGCGGTTGAGATTTAGATATTGCTCCCATATATATTTTCGTCCGATTTTAGGTAAATAGTGCAGCAAATTCCCTATATATCCTTCGATATGCACGAAATTTGGCAAGAAAGATGTGTGTTAATTTTCGTGAAAATCGGTTCAAATTTGGATATAGCTCCCATATATATTTTCGTCTGATTTGATGTAAATGGTGCACCAAAGTCCCTATATATCATTCGATTTGCACGAAATCTGGCATAGCGTACTGAATTGAGTCTTGAATGATGTGTGCAAAGTTTCGTGGAAATCGGTTCAGATTTAGATATAGCTCCCATATATATTTTCGTCCGATTTTAGGTAAATAGTGCACCAAAGTCCCCAAATATCCTTCGATTTGCAGGAAATTTGGCATAGCGTACTGAATTAGGTCTAGAATGATGTGTGCAAAGTTTCGTGAAAATCGGTTCAGATTTAGATATATCTCCCATATATATTTTCATCCGATTTTATGTAAATAGTGCACCGAAGTCCATATATATATCTTTCGATTTGCACGATATTTGGCATAGCGCAGAATGATGTGCGCGATAAGCTTCGTGAAAATCGTTGCAGATTTAGATATAGCTCTTTATTTCGTCCGTGAAAATCGATTCAATGAAATGAAATTTAGCATAGGTCCCAGAAAGGCATAGAGATCTTATATTCAAGTTCGTTCAATTTGATGCCAATGTTCTTTCGAAAAGGCGGAGTCTGGTAGGAGACATATGTAGAATATGCCCAAAGTGGTGAAGGGTATTATATAGTCGGCCCAGTCCTTACTGGTTTATAATCATAAATCTTCTATTCAAAATCATCACAATTAAATTTAATCCAAAACAATTCCACTTTTTGGATTAATTATTTAAATAATAATATTTCTAATTCACATTAATATGATTTACGAAAATATTAGTTTAAAAATTATTGAAAGTTTTCAATTTCACACCAATCTTAATTCGTAGAATTTCTCGCTTAATACCTCCCTCTCTATACCATCTCTTCCCAACATCAGAAAACTATTAAGAAAAACACATTAATTCAATTAATACTTTTGACAGCGTTAGTTTGTGTGTGTGTGTGTGAGTTTTGGCTCAAGAAGTCTGTCGAAATGTTATTGCCGTCAAGCGAGACGAAAGCAACAACAAAAAGAAATGTCGTCTTTGTGGCATATTCGGTTTTCGTTTGTATTATTTTTTTTCTGGCTAAAACTTTACCAATCAATTGCCAAATAAAAGAAAATAAATGATCGAAATTATACAAAGAACGAAAGAAATTATGGTAAAAAATATACTTAGGAGTAGCTGGAGGTGTATTAGGGAGACCTGAAGGTCTGGGATTTTTTTATAAAAAAAAAACTCCGACCTGAGGGTCTGTGAATTTTTTTGTATAGAAATAATTACGACTTAAGGCTTTACGAATGTTTTCTATAAAAAATTCCGACCTAAGGGTCTACGATTTTTTTTGTACAAAAAACTACGACCTATAGTAAAAATTAGTCATGACGGTCTATACTTATTTTTTTTAAAAGGATATGCTTGCATTTTAGCTTCACCACTCTATCCTACATCCAGCACCAACAAATATCTTTATCCCAGCTGTCATGTTCCTTTTTTTCGCTTCTTTCCTTCTTTCTTGCAGTTTATATCAATGTAAGGATTCGATTAATTCCAATTTCGAAATTCAACCAGTCGGAAATGATAGTTATCCTGGACTGCCCAAACGCAAAAAGAGTAAGTATGATTTGGCAAAATCAAAAATATCCCTTTTCCTATTAGCACACACCCACACATTCAGATACAAACCCACACAGCACCACCACAAGTCCCACTGAAGAAGGAGGCCCAACAAATGAATGGATGTTGTATATATGTGTGTGTATCTGTGCATTGGTCTGTTTATTTGAGCAAATGTCTGTGTGATTTGAAAATTCCTTGGCTAAGATGTCATAAAACACAGAGAAAACTTTTAATTGAATTCTAAGCCTACTGACACAACAAAAGAAAACCAACAGTTCGGCTGCTTGAAGGAGGATGGCCTGCAACCAAGTGCGGCATTATCCTTTAACGGCATCGTCATCTTCCAACCAGAGAGTCACAGACATTTGAGCCTAACGTGCCACTAATTAGGTTTTAGAGATTCTAATAAACAGTTATCTGAGTTGGTTTGGGTGTGAGTGTAGGCGTGCGAGCCTGGGTGTGTGTGTCTGGGTTTGTGTGGCTAGTGTTATGCGAACTGTGATCCTATGGAGGTTATTGTGTTAAAGACACACATATGAGACAATCAGTGTAGACGTGAGGTTCTCCCATATTTTTTCTATAGAAAACAATCGTATTTAAGTGTACGAGATTTTTCTAAACGAAAAAAATTGAGACCCTGACGAAAAAAATTGAGACCTGATAATCCCCGATTTTTTTGTTGCAGAAAAAGATATAGAATTTTTTTCTATAGAAAAAACATCGACCTGAGGGTATCGGAATTTTTTTTGTATAGAAAAAAGTCTGATCTGGGGGTCTCGGAATTTTTTTCTATAGAAAACAAAAACATCGACCTGAGGGTCTCGGAATTTTTTTCTATAGAAAAAAACATCGACCTGAGGGTCTCGGAATTTTTTTCTATAGAAAAAAACTTCGACCTGAGGGTCTCGGAATTTTTTTCTATAGAAAAAAACATCGACCTGAGGGTCTCGGAATTTTTTTCTATAGAAAAAACCATCAGTCCCAAGGGGCCTGACATTTTTTTCTATAGAAAAAACATCGGACCTTAAGGGTCTTGGAATTTTTTTCTATAGAAAAAACATCGACCTGAGGGTCTCGGAATTTTTTTCTATAGAAAAAAACATCGACCTGAGGGTCTCGGAATTTTTTTCTATAGAAAAAACATCGACCTGAGGGTCTCGGAATTTTTTTCTATAGAAAAAAACATCGACCTGAGGGTCTCGGAATTTTTTTCTATAGAAAAAAACATCGACCTGAGGGTCTCGGAATTTTTTTGTATAGAAAAAAACATCGACCTGAGGGTCTCGGAATTTTTTTCTATAGAAAAAAACATCGACCTGAGGGTCTCGGAATTTTTTTCTATAGAAAAAAACATCGACCTGAGGGTCTCGGAATTTTTTTCTATAGAAAAAAACATCGACCTGAGGGTCTCGGAATTTTTTTCTATATAAAAAAACATCGACCTGAGGGTCTCGGAATTTTTTTCTATAGAAAAAAACATCGACCTGAGGGTCTCGGAATTTTTTTCTATAGAAAAAAACATCGACCTGAGGGTCTCGGAATTTTTTTCTATAGAAAAAAACATCGACCTGAGGGTCTCGGAATTTTTTTCTATAGAAAAAAACATCGACCTGAGGGTCTCGGAATTTTTTTCTATAGAAAAAAACATCGACCTGAGGGTCTCGGAATTTTTTCTATAGAAAAAAACATCGACCTGAGGATCTCGGAATTTTTTCTATAAAAAAACATTGACCTGTCTCGGAATTTTTTCTATAGAAAAAAACATCGACCTGAGGGTCTCGGAATTTTTTCTATAGAAAAAAACATCGACCTGAGGGTCTCGGAATTTTTTTCTATAGAAAACAACTCCGACCTAAGGATCCGTGATTTTTTTCTATAGAAAAAATAACAGAACTGAGTGACTGTGAATTATTTTCTATAGAAAAAAGCACAGACCTTAGATTCTGTGATTTTTTTTCTATAGAAAAAATTGGACCTGCGGGTCTTGTGAATTTCTTTCACGGGTTAAATTTTTTTCATATACCAAAATTATTCGATTTTTTGGCTTTCCTGAACTATCTCTAATTCCATGATATTTCCTGCCTTTCCATTCTATGTTTCTACTAATTAGGTTGCATTCTGTACGCTGTGGGCAAACCTGTTTTCCACAAAAGTGTTTCCGAACAGCATGGTTCATGGCTTAAGGATCCGGCTGCCAAAGAAATTGACCGCGAGAAAACATTTGTTACCCATGAAAAGGAAAACAATAAACTCTACGAGTTTACATCGAAGAAGGCCTATCGGATAACATCGGTTGCACATCGGTCCCATGATATACCTCATGGTTTTCATGTAAGTTTATTTGTCGATGCTGACTATGCGGATCCTGCATAGATGCACACTAATTGCAAATGTCACTGATGATGAAATTTATTGCTTTTTTCGTTTGTTGTTGTTGTTGCAGGGAAATGCCAATGTGGTATTCAATGGTTCATTCTACTATCACATGTTGAATTCCAGCAAGGTTGCCAAATATAATTTGTATACCAAGGGAGATTTTCGAAGTGAGTATGAACGAGTGGGGGTAAAATGGGGTTACACACAAACAATTTCTAAGTTTTTTTTGGAAAATGATTTTCTATTTTTTTCTACTTACTCCCCCTTCTACCCCTTTTTAATTGCAGCCGTAACATTACCCGGTGCTGGCTATGAACCTGGCAATAAATTGTATTCAACGGCTTACAATTACATGGACTTTAATGTGGATGAGGTTGGCTTGTGGGTAATTTACAGCGGTAAAGATTCCAGTAATACCCTGGTGGCAAAGGTAAGAGACGTTACACTGTGATTTGCGATATTGTTGCAGTTGTTGCTATTGTTGTTGTTGTTAGAGAGGTAGATAGACAGAATGGCATATCTGGCTTCTATTTGAAAATTACGACTTACATGATTCGTTTCCTTGTAATACCCTGTTACAGCATAACAAATATGTGTAGAATCACACACCAACACAAACACACACATACATATGGACATATAGAATAATGATTTTCTGCTTAGTTTGTTGTTGTTGCTGCTGAGGAATGAATGAAATGTTGGTCAAAAGCCTCAAAGCCCTTTACAATTGTTGACGGGACGTTAGTACAAATGTTAAAAATTCAGTTGACATACTTTTTGCTCAGAACATCAGACAAAATTTCGAGTACATTGCTCTTCAACAACATAGGCTATAAATTCAACATGTTGGAGAACGAGGGGCGTATGTGAATAGGATATAGATCACAAAAATTAGCAAAACCTCCGGTCGGAGTTTTTTTTTAGAAAAAAATTCCTAGACCCTAAGGTTGGAGTTTTTTTTCTATTGAACAAAATTCGTAAACCCTCTAAACGGATTTTTTTCTATAGAAAAAATCATAGAATGCTAGGTTGGGTTGGGTTTTGAGGTCGCATGACCACAGATTCAAGTTTTTGCTATAGAAAAAATTCTCAGGACACCAGGTTCCAATTTTTTCTACAGAAAAAATTCTCAGGACCACAGGTCTGAGTTTTTGCTATAGAAAAATGTTCTGAGGACCACAAGTTCCATTGTTTCTATAAAAAAATTTTCTGGATCCCAGGTCCAAGTTTTTTCTATAGAAAAAATTCGCAGGATCCCAGGTCCAAGTTTTTTCTATAGGAAAAAAATTCGCAGGACCCCAGGTCCAAGTTTTTTCTATAGGAAAAAAATTCACAGGACCCCAGGTCTAAGTTTTTTCTATAGGAAAAAAATACGCAGGACCCCAGAAATAATTCTGAAGACCTCAGGTCCAAGTTTTTTTCTTTAAAAATAATTCTCATGACTCCAGGCTTAAGTTTTTCTATAGAAATAATTCGCAGGAACCCAGGTCCAAGTTTTTTTTTATCAAGGCTCCTGGTTTGAGTTTTTTCTATAGAAAAAAAATTCTCAGGACCACAGGTTCGAGTTTTTTCTATAGAAAAAAATTCTGAGGACCAGAGGCCAAGTTTTTTCTATAGAAAAAAAATTTTGCGGAACCCAAGGTCCATGTTATATCTAAAAATAAAATTCACAGGAACCCAGGTCCAAGTTTTTTCCATAGGAAAAAATTTACAGACCCTCACGTCGCTGTTTGTTTCTATAGAAAAAAATTGCAGAAATTATAAAAAATTGCCGATTTCCAATTTCTTATAGAGAAAATTTCTCAGGACCCCAGGTCCTAGTTTTTCTATAGAAAAAAAACTCATGAATCTAGATCCTATTTTTTTCTATAGATAAAAATTCTCAGGCCCCAGGTTTTATTTTTTTGTACAGAAAAAAATTCTCTATAGAATTCTCAGGACCTCAGGTCCAATACTCCAGGTCGCATTTTGTGCTATAGAAAAAAATCTCAATACCCCGGAAAATAATTTTAATAATTTTTTTTATTGAAGAAAGGACCATATATCCTTTTTTATGCCACAGAAAAAACTTGACCTGTTATCCTTTCTACCCTCGTATTTTTTGCATTTCCCATTAATCTATTTAAACACACATTCGTACTTCGAATTCATGCTAGTAATGCGTAGATTTTAATGCATCTAATACAAGGATGCTTACACAATTACAAAACGTATACCTACATATAAGCACACACACACATTTACGTGATATCAATCTATGTAGGATATTTACCCATACACGAGTCAAAGCCCACACCATTGCCAGCCACATTTTTACAATTGTAGACTAAGCAGATTTGGTTGAGAGAGAGCTGGCTGGCTGGCATCATGACATTTGTATTCGAATAATAAAAAACAATGTTACTCTGCTGACTTTTAGAAATTTCGTTGTTGTTGTTTTCTATGGAATGCACATCTATCTACAATTATATATCCATCCATCCTTCCATCCGACCAACTAACCATCTGTCTATGTTGCAAGGGTAGCACAATTCAATGACATCAATTTTGCACAAAAAAAGGGCTACCCATCCATTCGTCTCTCTTGAAATGAATGACTAAGTCTGACTGAATGAATGACACACTGGCTATTTGACTAACTTGCCGACTGTCTGAATGACATTTGATTTTCATAATAATGTTAGTAATGTAATTGTTGTTGTTCTAGTTTTTTTTTGCTATTCATATGTTCGTGCTTTTGATGTCATTATGATTATTTTCCAAGTCGAAAAGCAAATGATGTTGCACAGCAGAACATATACAGAACATGTGTGTAGGTATGGATGTGTGTGTAGAAATACTGACACAAGAGTCTACGAATTTTTTACTATAGAAAAAACATTGACCTTAAGGTATACCATTTTAAATTTTCTATAGAAATGAGAGTCTATTCTAAAGAAAAAATCACCGGCCTGATAGTCTGTCTGATTTTTTTTCTGTAGAAAAAAGTCTGACCTGAAGTATATATGACTGAATCTCTTCTCGTTCCTAAATTTAATTGTTGAAAATGAATTTAAAATTTAAAAGTTTTCCAAAACCTCATCTAAAATCCCTTCCCCCATCTTTACACAGCTGGATGCTGAAACTCTTGAAATTAAATACAACTTTAACATCACTTTGGATCATCGCAAGTTCGGTGAAATGTTCATTGTTTGCGGTCATTTGTATGCCATTGACTCGTGCACGGCCAAGAACTCCCAGATACGCTATGCCATCAACCTGTACCAGAATAAGCTGTTGAATGTGAATTTGCCGTTTACAAATCCTTTTGGCAGTACCGAGACGGTCGGCTACAATCCCTACACAGTGGTAAGTTCAGAAAACAAAACCAAAAACAACAAGCGAACAGAACTGAACTGAATTTGTCGGTTCGGCACGTAACTTTTGAAGTTTTCGATGTTGGATGTTGTTGGTATTTAGCTATCGATGTTGTTGTTGTTGTTCAACTAAAATCTGTTTTGGTTTCAGGCCATAAGTTCAAACTTCGCAGTGAAAATTCTTTGAATTGCATTTCAAAATTTGAGTTGTTGTTTTTTTTTTAGTTCGCAACATAAATCTGGGCATAAACATTACTTAGTTTGATGACGTGCGTAAATACGATTAAACTGAAGTGAGGTGGTTATGATTTTTTTCTTGGAACGATTTAAGATTTCGAAATTTGTGTGGGTAAATTACAAACATAAATAGAAAATTTAAGAATTAAAATTAAAACTTACCGAGAATTTTGCAATAGACAGATCTGAAAAGAAAATAAATTTAAAAATATTTTGGAATAAAATTATTGCTATTGAAAAGAATAGAAAAATAATCACATCTACAGACAGAAAACAATCGAAAGGACCGTTGGGACACAAATCTCGACAGGACCGTCGTAGGGACTGAATTTTTTTCATATGGAAAAAAATCTCGACAGGACGGACCGTAGGGACCTATTTTTTTCGTATAAAAAAAAATCTCGACAGGACCGACGTAGGGACTGATTTTTTTCGTATAGAAAAAATCTCGACAGGACCGTAGGGACTACTGATTTTTTTCGTATAGAAAAAAATCTCGACAGGACCGTAGGGACTACTGATTTTTTCGTATAGAAAAAAATCTCGACAGGACCGAAAGGGACTGATTTTTTTTCGTATAGAAAAAAATCTCGACAGGACCGAAAGGGACTGATTTTTTCGTATAGAAAAAAATCTCGACAGGACCGAAAGGGACTGAATTTTTTCGTATAGAAAAAAATCTCGACAGGACCGTAGGGACAATTTTTTAGTGTAGGAAAAATTTGGCGGGACCCAAGGGACTATTTTTATCGTGTAAAAAAATTGACAGGACCGTAGGGAGTCAGATCTGAGTTTTTTATATAGAAAAAATCGTAGACCCTTAGTTCAGAGTTTTATCTATAGACAAAAATTCGTATTCTATAGAAATTCGTATTTCTATAGAAAAAAATGGTAGACTCTTAGATCGGAGTTTTTTTTCTATAGAAAACAAAATTCGTAGACCCTTAGGTCGGAGTTTTTTTATAGAAAAAATCCTAGACCCTTAGTTCGGAGTTTTTTCTATAGACAAAAATTCGTATTCTATAGAAATTCATATTTCTATAGAAAAGAATTCGTAGACCCTCAGGTCGGAGTTTTTTGTACAGAAAAAATTCATAGAAGCTGTTTGGTTTTTCCTATAAAAAATCAGAGTACCTTAGGCCCGATTGAGATCTACCTTTGGTAGACCATCTGCTCTAAGTTGTTTTATAAAAAATATATCCACATGTCCATTTTGTGTTTCTCATCAATACTTTTCATCATTTACATTTTAAGTTTTTTATATATGAAAAAATCTCTTAAAATTATTATCACATAAATATTTAAAATAATATTTCATTTTTTTCTTCTTCTTCTTTTCATTGTTCCAGGAACTCTACTCATGGGACAAAGGAAATTCTCTGACATATCCCATACGTTACAATGAAGAGATAATACGGAATGATCCTGCATAAATTACGGCTGCATACACACACAGAGGCGCCCTGACACACAAACAATAACCAAGACGACATGGCTAAGATAATAAAACGAATGGATAAATACCGAGATATATTTCAATGGAAAAAATAAACATTTTTTATACACACACACTACTTCCAAAGCAGACAGTGTATATAGATGAGAAACACACACACACTCACTCACTCACTCACATAGTAAATACAGGATCACATACATACACACATATACTTAGACTTTAGACATTAGAACTTGTACTAGTCAAAATACAACTCATGTTGAATGACATGATACTTTCATAGGAAATACTTTTTGTTTTTGTTGCTGTAGAAAAATAAACAAAAAATGTCTTTTTGTTATTTTGAAAAACTGTAAAAAGTATTGAAAGCAACAGTATAGAAAAAACTTGATAAAAGAAGCTAAGAACAAAAATAATGAAAATTTGCTGGTAATGCTAAATAAGATTGTTTGCAATAAAAACGAACTATGTCACAAAAAATTAATAATAAATTATGCCAATATTCTATTGGCGGGACTAGAAGAGGGATGAATGTCTGAAATAATATTTTTTTTAATTTTTTTATTTATTTTTAACATTTTGCTCTGGCAATACAAACTCACACATACATATAGATTGCATTTGTAGTTAAAGGAAAAAAAATAAATTTTATACCAAATAAAAAATAAATTAAATTCTTAAAATTTTTATAGAAAAATGAAAAAACAAATATATTTGTAAAACACAAAATCTTAAGCCATCAATCAAAGGAAGAAGTTATTTGTATAGAACAGTAAAAAAATGCTAAGGAGATTACAAATAAAGCATACAAACACACACTCATACACACATACCCATGCATTTTTATACACAATTGAATAGAGTAGATAATAATACTTGGAAATTTGTTAATAATTATGTTGGGATTACAGTATCCATGTACACACTCACACACACATACACACTCCAATACAGTGATAATAAAACGATGGAAGGTCATATGAAAAATAAAAACAAAAAAATTAAATTATATTGAATATTTATAGTCGTTTGTAGAGGAGGTCGTAGCCATCCTCTCTAACTATTGACCTTTCCCCAAGCAGGAGAATGCCGAGTAAATCGTTTTTTTCGTAATTACTTCTCATAATTAGTGCATAATTATGCAGAAAATATTCGTGGCATTGTCGGGGTAAACGAATAAATAAACATTTACAGACAATATATTTTATACCGCAAAATTGTAGGTATCGTTGTGGAGGGTGGAATGTATGTATGGTGGGAGTGTTGTAAAATCGAAATTATAATTTGTAATTATTTTTAATTGTTAATATTTTATGTGTGTAATAATTATCTATGACAGTTTTGTACCAAAAAATAATAATAAATAAATATATTATTTGCAAATCAAATAAAAATAAATTATTTATGTAAAACAGATATAAATGAGATATTGTTTTATTTCTAAATTAAAAAAAAAAATAGAAAATATTTTTCTAATGCTTTAATCAAGCAATATTTTTTTTACAAAATATTTTTAAAAGGTCTCAAGTAAGGGGTGGATTACTACCAGTAGTCGTGTGAACTTTTTCTATACGAAAGCCAGTAGTAAAGTCGGACTGGGCCGACTATATGATACCCTTCACCACTTTGGGTATATTGTACATATGTATACTTACAATTACATGTCAATGTTCCCTCGAAGGAACATACTCATGTCTTTCTGCAACCTATGATAAATTTAATTAAATTCGAGCAGATTTAGAGTCGTTTGCGTACCATGGAACAAATCTATGGAAAACGATTTACTATTTTGTTTTTGCAAAATAGTCAGACTGTTAAAAATTTAATTTCAATCAGGCACCCGTTCGAAATACACATGGAAGCTATGGCTGCATCTGCATCAATTTCAACAAAACGCAATAACGTAATTCTAGTCTCAAATTGATATGTTGTTCGTGGTAATCGAACAAACATTAGGAGTTTGTTGCAACATTTATGTAAAATCGGACGAATACGTATGCATATGTTGGAGCTATATCGAAATCTGAACCGATTTCCCGAAACTTACCACACATCATTCTAGACTCAATTTATCACTTTATGTCACATTTCATGCAAATCCGAGGATATACAGGTACTTTGCTGCACCATTTACATCAAATCGGACGAAAATATACATGGGAGCTATATCTAAATTTGAACCGATTTTCCCGAAATTACCACTAATAATTTTAGACTCTATTCAGTACACTATGCAAAATTTCGTGCAAATCGAGAGATATATAGGGATTTTGGTGTAGTATTAACATAAAATCGGACGCATATATATATATGGGAGCTATATCTAAATCTGAACCGATTTTTACGAAACTTTACACACATCACTCTAGACTTAATAAAGTACGACATGTTAAAATTGGTGCAAATCGAAAGAAGTATAGGTACTTTGGTGCACCATTTACCTTAAATCGGACGAAAATATATATGGGAGCTATATCTCAATCTGAACTGTTTTTTTCCAATTTCAATAGGGTTCGTCCTTGGGCCAAATAGATAAGCTGTGCCAAATTTCGTCCGATTGGGATAATAACTGCGATCTGTATTTATTACTCTATGTCACATTCCGTGCAAATCCAAGGATATACAGGGACTTTGGTGCTAAATCTAAACATATTTTCCCGAAACTTTCCACACATCATTCTAGACTCAATTCAGTACGCTATGCCAAATTTCGTGCAAATCGAAGGGTATATAGGGTTTGGTGCATCATTTACATCAAGTCGGACGAATGTATAAATGGGAGCTATACCTAAATCTGAACCGATTTTCACGAAACTTAGTACACATCATTCAAGGCTTAATTCAGTACGCTAAATCGGATGAATATATATATATATATATATAAATCTGAACCGGACATGCATAAAACGACTCAGAAAGTGATTCTATGCATATTCTCAAAAGGAACCATGGGTCTATCTCGATTCCTTTTGCCTGTTACACACATATGCACAAATACATAACACCCTGTACCACAGTGTGGTGACGGGTATAAAAATAGTCCATGGGGTCCTGTCGATTTTTTTCTATACTTAATAAACAGTGCATACAGTCCTGACGATTTTTTTATTCTATACGCAAAAAATCAGTCCGTACGACGGTCTTGTCGAGATTTTTTTCTGTACGCAAAAAATCAGTCCCTACGACGGTCTTGTCGAGATTTTTTTCTATACGAAAAAAATCAGTCCCTACAACAGTCCTGTCGAGATTTTTTTTCTATACGAAAAAAATCAGTCCCTTTCGGTCCTGTCGAGATTTTTTTCTATACGAAAAAAATCAGTCCCTTTCGGTCCTGTCGAGATTTTTTTCTATACGAAAAAAATCAGTCCCTACGGTCCTGTCGAGATTTTTTTCTATACGAAAAAAATTGCTCCCTACGGTCCTGTCGAGATTTTTTTCTATACGAAAAAAATTGCTCCCTACGGTCCTGTCGAGATTTTTTTCTATACGAAAAAAATTGCTCCCTACGGTCCTGTCGAGATTTTTTTCTATACGAAAAAAATTGCTCCCTACGGTCCTGTCGAGATTTTTTTCTATACGAAAAAAATTGCTCCCTACGGTCCTGTCGAGATTTTTTTCTATACGAAAAAACTCAGTCCCTACGGTCCTGTCGAGATTTTTTTCTATACGAAAAACATCAGTCCCTATCAGTACTGTCGAGATTTTTTTCTATCAGTCCCTACGACGGTCCTGTCGAGATTTTTTTCTATACGAAAAACATCAGTCCCTATCAGTACTGTCGAGATTTTTTTCTATCAGTCCCTACGACGGTCCTGTCGAGATTTTTTTCTATACGAAAAAAATCAGTCCCCACGATGGTCCTGTTGAGATTTTTTTCTATACGAAAAAAATCAGTCCCTACGACGGTCCTGTCGAGATTTTTTTCTATACGAAAAAAAAACAGTCCCTACGACGGTCCTGTCGAGATTTTTTTCTATACGAAAAAAAAATAAGTAGTCCCTAAGGTCCTGTCGAGATTTTTTTCTATACGAAAAAAATCGTCCCTGCGGTCCTGTCGAACTTTTTGTCTATACGAAAAAATAGTCCCTGCGGTCCTGTCGAGATTTTTTTCTATACGAAAAAAAAAATCAGTAGTCCCTGCGGTCCTGTCGAGATTTTTGTCTATACGAAAAAAATCAGTAGTCCCTGCGGTCCTGTCGAGATTTTTTTTCTATACGAAAAAATCAGTCCCTACGGTCCTGTGAATCTTTTCTACGGAAAATAATTGGCTTTGCGGTCCTGGAATGTGTTCTTAAAGAAAAAATGGGATCTGTTGTCCCAATAAATTTTTCTGTACGAAAACAAAAATAGTACCTGCGGTATTGTCTATTTTTTCTATACGAAAAAAATAGTCCCTGCAGTCCTTTGAATTTTATTGTAACTTCATCCTAACATCTGTGTTTTCATTTTCTAGATTTTCCATTGAACATGCTACCCGAAATATGGAATGGGGAGAGAATGCATGACAGCTTTGAATTTTAATATCGCCTAAATACAGCGCAACTCTGTGATTGTGCTTTGCCAGATACCAAGTCCAAGATAAACACTGCATAATTATAGCCAAATAAATGGAAATGTTTATGCAAAAAATCCCCCAAAAAGTGGAAGAGGGGAGAGCAAAACTTTTCTTTTGCAAAACATTTATTGCATTCAAATGAATCTAAGAACTTGGCGAACATGTTTTGTAAACAATCTGAAGAGAGAAAAAAACTTTTTTGGGAAAAACAAGAAATTCAAATAAAACAAAAAACGAACAATGTGGAGATAAACAACAGAAAATGGGTTAGACGCGAGATTTAAACAAATGAGATGGGAATAAAGAAGAAAGAATGGGGGAAATAATATTGAAATTCAATATTTTGTGTTTTTTTCTTATTACCAAAAAACAAAAACTTAAACAAACTATTACAAATGGAAAATAATAATAAAAGAAATTTCCCCCGATGGGTACTGTCTATCATCTACATTAGATATT